ATGTTTTCATGTGCAGTGAAGGTCCACAGTTTTATAATATGTATAGAGTTGTTTAACATGGTTCAATTAAAATGTGCTTCGTATTTCTTTTTTCCCGTAGTTTACGAACAATAAACACAGGAGTAAAACGCCTTTAGATGTTTTGAGAAAATAATTGGAAACAATTTGAGCAATCCATTAAAACACTACGGGCGAATTTCCTTGTGCAACTATATTTTGAAATATTACTATCCACTTTAATTAAATCCTTTTTATGCTTGGTTGTCAAAACTTCCTTGCGGCACTGTGGACTCATTTTTTTGTAAACGTTGTTGTGTTTAGAAAATAGAAAAAAAAAACAAGAGCATCACAAAGCAAAACATCCACTCGCATGCAGCACATTTTTTAATTTAGGCCACACCAATAAATTTTCTTGTTCGTCGGACCCGCCCGCTCGTATTTAAACAAAACCATACAAATAATATTAATTTAAATTTCCCGCACCATAAAAATTATAGGCTATTTTCTGTTCCATTCCCGCTCTATTAATCGTTTGTTTAATCTGCTAACTCTGCAAATCAGATAAAATATAATTGTCCGCTTAAATTTTTTCACGCTCCGCCTAAAAATTTTACCTTCAAAAAAGTAATAATATTATTATTTAACCGCTTGCCCACTCGTATTTTTTTCCATCAAATATCCGACGAACAAGAAATTAAATTGGTGTGGCCTTAAGACATCGATATATATATACTGTTGCAAATTACATCACGCACAAAGGACAAATTAACCCCCCCCCCCTCCCTCACACACACACACACACACACACACACACACACACACACACACAAGCGAGCTAAAAAATCCCCTGGGAGGGATCAATGAGCTTCCAAATCCAATCAACCATGAACATTTTCTGGCTATGGATTCACTTCTGAATGACCGATAATTACGGTTAATATCTTAACATACATGTACCATAGTCGACAAATCAATTTAGGATACAAATCTTCGTTAAAGACAATGTAGGCATATATACATGTACACCTAGAAAATATACAAATATTGGACCGAAACCATCATAAAAGAACTGAAAACACAGACTTGTTCATGTAGAAGAATTTGACATTAGTCAACTAGCAGGGTTATTAGTTAACATATAATTCAGGATGACGAATACGAAGGCGAAGGTAATACTGTGTCCGGAGTCGTTAATAATCGCCCTACCCACGGGGGACACAAAACGGTAGACAACATAAATTTTACAGTTTTGCGTGGTTTCAAGAAAGGATTATTGTCATGTTAAATTCGTTCTAACCCTAGGAATGAAGTATTATTATTTTTCAGTTAAAGAATATGCTAATTCCGAACGTTTTGCGCCATCTTTTGTTATACATATAGATACCAAAGATAACACCCCCACCCACCCACCTGCCTTAAATAATTTTTTATCATTTTTTGAGGCAAGGTTAAAGTCTTAAATATTTGAATTTTCCCTGTCTGTGCAGGCCTGTTTAAACAATGTGGGTGGAAGGCTGAATTATTACACAGGTAAACAAATAATCTGGAAACAAATAACCCAGTTCCTGAGATTATGTACTTGTCTGCAATTTGTAGTCCAGACTATATTAGCCCTTTAAATGCATAATACAGATGCGACCTGTTTATATAGCTAGAATTTTAGAGTCTTTATGCAATAACATCTGAATTATGATATACTTTAACATTTACAGGTGTATTTTTAACAGGGTAGATAACTAGATATCGTATCTCTGCATTTACTAGTACATCTGTAGTATACGCCCATTACCGAATTAATGTAAATTATCTTGTGTAATTCCAAAAAAATTGGTCTCGGGTTTATAGTCACGCTATATTTTAATTATATAAAATTTTCACACACAGGGTATATACAATTTTTTCCCCATATTTTAAAAAAGTGACATTTATTCAGACCTACACGGGTCAATGCATGACAACTGCACAATTATTGTATACTGAAGCATTTCACTAAAATATATACATATATTATATAAATATTGCCTAACTATAAACCCGAGACTCAATTTTTATGGAATTACACAAGATCATTTATTTTTACACTTCGGTTATGGGCCTACATACAGCTGTACTAGTAAATGCAGAGATGCTACATGAAAATAAGTTAGGACAAAAACTTCGAATTTTTTGAATCAGAATGACCCTCATGCATGTATGCATATTATTTTGAAATGAAGTTATGAATTTTGAAATTAAGGACATACGCAACGTACCTCACCTATACTGATAATTTTTCAAGATATTCTTGAAAGATAATTTAAACTTACAATACCATTACATGTTCTTAGACAAAAAATCAGCATGCGTTATCAGGGGTTTTGAAAAGATATCAAATTGTGAAATTTTTTGCATTATTCAAAGAAAAATGCACAAAAATTACAAAACATAAATTCCAGATTTTTTTCATCAAAAATTGTTCTAGAAGAGGTGTACAAATCCATATATCAGGGACGTAGCATCCGGGGGGCCAGGGGGGGCCTGGCCCCCCCACTTTTTTCCCCAACATAACCTTTACCATAGTAAATGTTCATTGATGGGATGGTTGGCCCCCCCACGTTATAACCATAGTATAGTGATAGCAAGGATTGTAAGGAAAAAATTTGAAGTGATAGTAAGTTGGGTTTGAAAAAGTTGGCCACTACCCCCCCCCCCCCCCCCCCCCCCCCCCCCCCCCCCCCCCCCCCACGAAATAGGATTTTCGAGTTTGGGCAACTTTGAATTTTGAATTTTGAATTTTGTTTTTTTTTTTTTTTTTTTTTTTGCTTGTCAACTTTTCAGGTAAGTAAAAAAAAATTTCTCAGGTTGGCCCCCCCACTTTCAAAAACGATGCTATATATACGTGCCTGTATTCCCCATTTTCAAAAGTGAGTTATCTCCCCTCAAAATCGGAACTCTTCTACACTAGCCTAACTTCCGCGGACTACACATTACCATAATCCAACAAAATAGTGATCAACTTACACGCTGTATTTAAAAATTTTAAAAGAAGGAAACGGTTTGCATTTTTTTTTAGATAATGAATTATTTTATAAAAGGTCTGTTAGCCCCCCCCCCTTTCTAGAAAGCTATACGAATTAGCCAGACACGAAGCATCGTCTTTAAAAGTGGGAGGGGGGTAGCCAAAGAAATATTTTTTTCTTACCTTGAAAAGTTGACAAGCAAAGAAAAACCTTGCCCAAAGTTGAAAAAGCTACTTATTTCAGTACCAGTTCCTTGGCATACAATACTACATTTCTCTTATATAACTTTACCGTAGTATTAACTATGTGTGTGTGTTGGGGGGGGGGGGGGGTTGGCAACCTGTCTATCAATGAATATTTTCAATAGAAAAGGTAATACTGGGTAAAAAGTGGGGGTGGGGCTAAGCTCCTTGACCCCCCCCCCCCCCCGTGCGTACAGGTACATAGAACGAATAATTATGTAAATGGGTTGATCAGTTGAATATAAACCATAGTTGTGAAAATTGAAAATTATTAGAATTACTATAATTGTGATTTCAATAAAATTACGGTACATATATTTTAACACAGATGTACATGTATGTCAGTTACAGGGTTACATGAGTCTCTCTCTCTCTCTCTCTCTCTCTCTCTCTCTCTCTCACTTATGGTTTTTTACACACTTTGCAAAAAAGAATAACTTATAAAAAAAAATTACATGTACTTACACTGAAAGGATTTTTAAAAAATAAATAACAGTTGAGAAAAGAATGTTTTCCGTTAATTAACGAGAAATACGCTAGGAAATTATTGTATCAATTTCGTGGTTCTGCTCTCAATTCTCTGATCTAAAACAAAATGTGTATTTTACTCGGGAATATACATGTACATATGCTTAGATCCTACACTAAAACTTTGATTAAATGCAGCTCAGACTTTATACGACATATGTAACACGAATTCAGGTCAATGCTATTTTAATTAGTCTTTCTTCGTTACATGAGGACATGAGATTAAATTATTCATTTAGAATTCTATCCAAAGTTTTAATACTACATATGGTGAATCAATTATTTTACAAATAAAAAATTCTAGAAACACTGTTAATTCAAATGAAATAGGCCTTTAATTGTCACCAAATGTGTTCTTGTAAAAGTAAAAGTTCTATGTTATGACATACAATCGAGCAAAAACGCAGTTTCTTGGTATCGGTCGCGGAAGACGAACTACTGCTGTATATGCAGCAATTTCAGAGGTAATCATCAGTCTCCAAAAAATTCCTAGAGATACAAAGAAAATATGGCTGCAGCAGGCTAGATTAATTCTTAAAAACAGAGACGTATAATAGAAAAAAAAAACTTTATAACTAAAAATTTGTTCCGCACATTTTGTAAATAATGATGATCCGTCTGCAGAATATCCACTACCGAAAATTAGCTTATTAGCTTTTTTTTTAATAGGCCTATTCGAATACGTATCAGCATCTTATCAGTAATTTGTTTCTTTCTTTTTTTTGTAAGGGTGGGGGGGGGGGGGCACACAGCACCTTATTATAGTACTACACAGATTAATACAAATCCAGAAAGAGACTATGAGTGGGCAATTTAAAAAAAATACGAATCAGTTAAGATTTCCTTTTATTCGCAAGCACAATAACATTTTTCCATATGACAGATGCATTACACCATAAACATGTTTACATCAAGAACGTCCGCGGAAGTGACTTTATTTATAGCGCATGCGTATTAAACACAGTAAAAGAGTTCCCTTCAGGGGAAATAACTCACCTTTTGAAAATGGGGAATATAGTCATTAAAAGTATTGCACACGGGTCCTTCATTTAGTGGAACTCTTCAACTCCAGAAGAATCCAATCAAGTTCAAACTACATTGCGTATGACCTTAATTAAAAAGCATGTTTTTTTTAAAGTATGACATATTTAAAAGCGTGCATAAAATGAGTCAGTTGAAGTTTTAAGACTTTAATGACACACGCTCCCCTAAATCCGCCACTAGCACTCACCGCTATTTCCCGGTCCGTCTTCTTCTGTCCCAGACCATCTACAACCATCTTTTTAAGTTCCTGGATAGAGACTTTTCCGTCCTTCTGTCCCATTGCATCTGTCTTATCAAAAAAGTCCTCGTACATTTTTCTCTGTGCGGCTGCCATCTTTCTGAAAATGTCTTACTCCCTTACTGTCTTAGCCTTGTCGGTCGGACTAGCCTTGTAGGTCGGACCACAGTGAATGAGTAACTGGTTTGACCAGGTCTTGGGTTTTATGGTCAGTTACAGAAATATACATTCAATAGAGTGTATGTACCACGTCCCATTCACTTTTTGTAATGTATTTGTATTGTAATCACTCAACCAAACCACACAAAGGGAAACATATATAGGTGAAGCGCGTAGTTTAAATGTTTATCAGAGCTTATGACACAGATTGTCCCGCCTTACGAGGCAATAAATTAATGGACTGTATACTTTCCACTGAGTTTCTTAAAATTACTACTACGTTTGTACACACCTTCTTCATGAGTAAATCCCAAACTAAAACATGCACATCAGAGAGTTATACCTAGGAGCCATTTATTCAAGAGTAATACATGTAGTGGTTTAATTAATGATTCGATTTTGTAATTACTAGTAATTACAGAGATTGTGAAAATTTATGCAAAGTCAACGTCAAATTGTAGGACTTCCATTAATTTAAAAGACCACCTCGACAATAATACAGTGTAACTTAGATTTAGCCATTAAAGATTCCTTCTACAAGCTTGTAAAGATTTAACCATGCATTAAAGGACACTCAAAATACTTAGTATTTTTATTCATAATTATGACCATGAAATTTAGAGACTACATTTCTTTGATCCTTTTCTGTGAAATTCCCCATCATACACCCGTCACGGTGGATAACTAGGTTGGTTTATCTGATCTTTAACAATTCATTTCCAATCATCCGTAAAATCTACAGCATACATGTACCAGAGAGATGATACTATCATTACAGCGTGTCAGTTCGTTTGATCAAGCGTGCAAAACTTTATCCAGTATAATATTATTTCAATACATGCAAATACTAGAATACAGTACACCATATAAACTAGCCACGTATGTATGTGACTTACAATACACATTGTATATTTTCCCTCCAATTACATTTCGATTACATGCCATATAACTATGCTGTACATGTACAACATGCATAACTATGCTGTACATGTACAACATGCATAACTATGCTGTACATGTAAAACATGCATAACTATGCTGTACATGTAAAACATGCATAACTATGCTGTACATGTAAAACATGCATTACTATGCTGTAGTCTCAACATGAAAACAGCATGCACCATTAGTAGAAGTACCTTTATTATTTTTGACATCTTTGCTAGCTACGGTTTACTACACTCTCTACACATGCCTGTTCACCCTAGCAAACGTTCGCGAGTACTCGCCAAATTCCTTATACGAGACCTCCAATAGAAATGTTCACGAACGCTCGCTCTGTTGTATAGGCATCTGTCCTCGGAAGATGAGTGAAGCGGATCAAAAAACCTTCGCTAAAGAGGATGTATTTTTTAAGTTTTGCATCCTTGTTTATTAGGCCCAAAGAGTCACGTTAAACTAACATGACCAACAGTGAATAGGAGGTAAATTGTATATGTATATATGTATATAATTTCTGTTGGCACTCAGCAGACTCGTATCAACTAAATATACAGACAGCAGGGAGAGTCCCTAGACACGAACATAAATAATGAACTCGATAACCTATTACAGAAGTCCACGGAGAAATCAGACCCAATACAGAGCAAACATGTCTTCCATAATCAGAATCAATTGAAAACATTTTCCCGTCTGATGTGAAAAGCTCTCGTTTAAGAGACTGTTAAAGTGAACATGTTCATATTATGTGTATTGAGAGGTGAGGTCATATTAACAAGACGCAGAAGAAACTGTAAAATAAGACGTCAGCCTGAAAGAGAAGCTGTTATGGATGGATTGCAATGTTCCAAGAATCTAAATATCCCGTAAAAACTCATAATTATGTTAATATTGTTAGATCAAGTGAACAATGTAGTGATCTAACTTCAGTATAACATCAGGATTTGTGGTAAGGGCTGAAATAAGGTGATAAACATTTAAATACTTGATTTTAATTGACATTTGATTATAGTATACAGTTATGGAATGGGTAAAGGGAAATAGTTTCCTGCCGAGGGGATGCATAACTTTGCTATTTCCCGAGTTCCCATTCCAATTGTTTAACAGGTCGGAGAGAATACTCGAAATCGGGTATTATCCGTGAAATCGCGTATAATACCCGATTTTAGGGTATCGTTGAATCCGCGAAATCGAGTATAGGAGGTGTAATCACCTAATAAAACTTAAACAATGGGATGGCGCATGTTGCCGAGTTAACTTTCATCTAGATACCCATGTTTTCTAAAGGTATCACAGGCCAAGTAAGAATTTGGGCGTCAAGATTAATGCGCTCAGGACAACAAATACCCATGGAGCTCAGTACATTTCATGATCTGCTCACAAAAAGGCGTTCGATTTGCTTTATATTTTTCATAATGTTGAAAGTATATGCATCTTCATAATGTTCATTCCCAACACAACAGAATGGTAAAGTCTAGGAATTTCGGGAATTTATAATAATTCCACATCAACACGACAAACATGAACAATTTGTAAATAAATCAAATTATACGGAAACACATTTCACACACAAAATATGATGCCATGTATTAACAAGGGATTGTCTATCGTATCTAATTATGCGTCATTAATTACTTTCACATTTATCTTGTGCATAAAATCAAATTTATTTATGAATGTATAAATAATGTAATGATAAAAATGTCTAAAATTTCGGCTAAAAAACCTCTTTCTGATCTTTTTTTTGAAAATCTTTTTTTTTTAATCATTCATACATATTCGCAGAATATGTCTTCAACATTTTAGCAGAAACATTAATACATGTAGTTTCAGGAATACAGCTTATGAGAGAACATACAGTACCCGCATCGTTATTCTTTACAGGATACACGATACGATAGGATACACGCACGATACGATAGGATACACGCACGATACGATAGGATACACGCACGATAGGACAGGATACACGCACGATAGGATAAACGCAAAACACGATAAACGCAAAACACGATACACGATAGAACCTGATAAACGATCTACACGATAAACGCAAAACACGATAAACGGAAAACACGATAGAAAACGCAAAACACGATAAACGGAAAACACGATACGATAGGATACGATAGGATACACGCACGATACGATAGGATACACGCACGATACGATAGGATACACGCACGATAGGACACGATAGATTTGTAAAGAATAACGATGCGGGTACTGTAACTGTTGATCGTTTAATTTCGCAAAGTCATCAATATTTTACCATTTCTTGGCGACTTCAAAGGGGGGGGGGGGAGGGCTAAAAGCTTCTTGACCACCTCTGACAAAACAACATCGACTGTGTTCTACATGTGTCCAATAGACCTCTATTTGAATGTCAGGTCGGTTAAACTCGGTTATATATTCTTAATTGTAGGGAAGATTTATTCATTAAATAAAAATTATATAGGTAAACAGAAAGCAACCTGTTATTTTCTAACACAATATGAGACTACAAGTAACTAGAATTCATGTTTATTTTTTAACACATTTTTTTTTTATTATAGATGAGTATTAGGAAAAATTCTTGCCATGAGTAATAAGTATCATAGATAAAATAACTAAAAGAAAACTGTGACATATTGTCTAGAACCAATCAGATAGTACGTTGTATTTTCATATTATAATGAGGTATAAGATAGCAATATAAGAAAAATATAGAAGGTAAAGAGGTAAAATTTACCCTGTCAATCAAATAGTATAATAAAGAAAGGAAGTGACTACAATTTGTATGAAATTTTAATGTCCGATGAGGAAATATATTCCCAAAAAGTAAGACAAGAGTTTCCAAGGCAATTGAACACTCCATTATTTCAGTTTGTTCATTAACATATTCATATAATTCATATTTCAATATGACTGTACCTCGATCTATATTGAGAAATTCAATGTATTATAGGCTCAAAAAAAAAAAAGAAAAGAAAATCCTGTTCATGTGACTTCTCGCTCTCAATTTTCACACAAATGCATAAAATAAAGAAAAAAAAAAATAGCATATCTTGTATCGATTAAAATGCAATCCAAAAATTTACGGTGTCTTTGAATAAAAATTTCCATGTTAAATTGACATAAAAAAGATACTCACCTTCAATTAGCTATTTTCAACCTTTTTTCCGGTGGGTATTTATTTAATCTTATTTTATTTTCTTCTTCATAATAACGTTGGTATTCTATTATGGCAGAGATATACAACTATGATTCGCTTATACTGTACTCTCTAACTGTTAGGAATAATTTATATTTCACGTGAAAGGGACGCCATACATTTTTTCAGTAAAAATACATAACACGGCGTTAGTACAATCGCATCATATCGTCAGAGGTCGGAAAAACAACCTCGAATGTATTAACATCACCGGATGTTAAAAATTTATACATTTCCTGTTTATTCAAATATAGGATAGAGTGAGTAAGAAGTCCCTTTTATAGTATATCTTAGGTAATATCATTAAATTGAATAAATTTAAACTCCATATTCCACAGATAAAAGGTCTTCCTGCATTTATTTCAAAGATCATGAAAAAGGAGGGTTGTAATGGCGTCTACCATATACATTCGAGGTCGTTTTTCCGCTAGTCGGAAAGGCCCGAGAAGTTGCGATTGGGCGTTAGTCGTTTAATTTCTGTAAAGTTTCACATTTTATGAATAGTGCACAAATTAGAAAATTAAGTATATGGAATACTTTAATGGGAAATAAAGACAAACGAAGTGTAGTTATTTGTTTTTAGAAAATATATTGAAAAATAATAACGCCATTGTGTCCTCTTTGTTACCCCAGCAGTGTTTGTCGTGTGATTTTAAACTTATTTGACAACCGTATGAATTAGTTTAAATAAAAATAAATCCACAAGATACTGATGTACAAGTAACAGTACCTGGCATAATGCGCCGTTGCTTTATTCTTTTGTTTTTCAAGAAAGTTGCACGGAATACCCGATTTCGCGGATTCAACGATACCCTAATATCGGGTACTAGTATTATACACGATTTCACGGATAATACCCGATTTCGAGTATTCTCTCCGACCTGTTTAATTATACCGAAACAATTATAGGCGAAATCTTCATTTTTTTTTACCAGATGTTCCAACATTAAAAAAAATCACTATAGAGGCATAATCACAAATGCATGCGGTTTTAAAAGTGTATGATAACTAGTGCATCGTGTCCGAGAGCAATAAAATCATTTTTAAAAAGTATTTTCACTGATATTTCAAAGAATTATCGTTGTCATCTTTTTACTAGAATTCAAGTAAGATTTTGACATCACATGTCGAAATGTTTTGACGTCATAGTTACATTGCTAATAACATTATGACACAGACTCGAGATTCCTTGAACGCACCGACCACTGAACACTTTGATCGGTTGAAATTACTAATAAATATTCATGAGGGAATAGACCCAGTCTTTGGAAGAGAATTTACATTTGGTATGACAGAATTAGTTTATACTGCAACAATCCAAGAAACTCAACAAACTGTCGTGAAACATTTCTCTGTATTTGATGTTGTGTAATGTTACTAGTTCCAGTCTATCCACTTTCGAAATAAAACCTATAGTATATCTAATTTGTTCCTTTTCAATAAAAAAACTACTTTCCTTTAGCGTGCACGGCTCTTTGAAGAACTTAATTCGATGGTAACCAAAATTTGCCCCAAAAATCAAACTTTGACGGAGTAATATTTAATTGTGTTTTAAAACAGGGGAATACATGCTGACCTCAAAGCACTGAGTATTTTTGTTAGCAATGACGTCATGAAAATGACGAAAATTTAAAATTTCCATGATTTCTACAGAAAGATGTAAAAATTACGTCAATATTTTTAGTAAAAATCACCGAGCGCAGGTTTGTTGAGGCTTCATACACTGTATTTTGATATAATGTGAAGAATGATAATATCAATCAAACATGCAAATATTGCTCCTGAACAGATCTGCCCTCTATAAATTCTATAGCTATATTTGTTGGAAGTTTGTCCATTTTGTGCTTTTTCTAAAAAATAATGCAAAATCCGACTAGTTTGTGACGTCAAAAAAACAAAAACAAAAACAAAAACAAAAAACAAAAAACAAAAACAAAAACAAAACTACTTTGAAACTATAATATGTTCTGTTACTTTTAAATATTTTTCATACAATTTATGCAACACATTTTAAGAATTTTTCAATTTTTTAAAAATTTTATTTTATCTATTTATTTTTTTTGGGGGGGGGGGGGCAAAGATACATGTATGCAATATACCGAATATAGTTCTTTATATATAGAGTAATAACAGTAGAGGTATAATAATAATTATATATAATAGATCGACTTCGCTGTAGCAAAATAGTCTTTTAGAATTTCATTTAAAAAAGTGCTAGACGATGATTGTCAAACACTCTCTCTCTCTCTCTCTCTCAGAACGCATATTCCAGTAACATTTCCATAAAGAGAAACAGAAGACGTATTTTAAGTACTATTTTTATGGATGAAAAATGTAGACACCACAGTTTTTGAACATGGAATAGATTTTTGTACTCATGACTTAGAATGCTTGAATTAGAATCCATTTAATCTGAAAATACAAGAAGTCTGTTGGAAACAAGATAAACTTTATTCTATACATACATGTATTTGATTAACAAAACAGTATGGAACTGTAAATGATCAATCCCTGTTGTAAAAGTTTTGTAACAGGCACAAGAATTAAAAAGAATCTTTTGTAATAGAAGAAATATCGTATGTCAAATCGAAACAAAATTTACATTTCCGTAAGCCATTTTGAGAGTTGAGTGTTGCAGTCCACGACTGCATTCAGTGGTTATCCCCACAATGCCCTCAAGTATGAATTCCGAATAATATGAGAGCATTGTAGTTGATTGTGAAGATAGTGAGTCTTTGAACAAAAGGCATATGCCCCCGTCTTCTAACTGAATTGCATTCAAAGGGAAAATTTCAAAATTTCAAAAATACTGAACAAACGAGGACATTCAATCTTAAATTCACGTTTTGTAAAAATTAGTTCGTTTTTGAAATCTTGCTGAAACTCACAGTTCAGTTTCTATCATTTTCAAATTTTATAATATTTTTATTATTTGATTAATGTTTATTTTTAGATTTTTTGTAATGGCAACAGGTGGTAAAATACTAGATGCCCTTAAGGATGAGTTCTGTGAATGTCCTATTTGTACTGAGGAATATGATGAAGAAAAACATGTACCAAGGCTTCTTCCATGTCAGCATTCTTTCTGCACTGAATGCCTTCAAAAGAGCATAAAAGGTGGAAAGCTCAATTGTTCCATATGTAAACGCAGTTATAAAGTAAAAGAAAAGGGTGTAGATTGTTTTCCAAAAGATCTTACGAAGCGAAGCTTGGGGGATGTATTACAAAGAATTAAAGCATCCTCTTGTTGTATTTGCAGCAGGATAGAAGGTATAAGATATGAATGTACATCCTGCAATATAAAAGTCTGTAAAAGCTGTTTCAAGGTCCGTAAATCAACTGAGTGCAAGCATCATCGATTGAAAGAAATATCTATGGATAGTAATAAAACCCCTGATTCATCTCTGGACTCTTTAGAGATGAGTGCGGAAAATATATGCAACCCACCATTTCATGAAAAAAATACATTGAAGTTTTACTGTAAAAACAAAGATTGTCGTAAACCAATTTGCGCCAATTGTACAACAAAAGATCACAAATATCATGACTGGGATGAAATAGATCTGTATTATAAAAAAGAAAAAGAAACAGTCCTTTCTCGTTTATCATTAGCTAAGGAGAAGATTGAAAAGGCAAAGGGTGTTTTATCATATATAAAGAAGGAAAACGAGAAAATTATGGAAAATGATAACACAGGAAAGGCGGCAATCCAAAATGAAAAACAGAATGGAATTGATTATCTTAATCAGGAAATAGAAGAATTGTGCCAAACAAGCACACAGATTGTCAAAGAGTACACCGAAACATTTGAAAAAAAGATGTCATTCTTAACGAATTTTATTGAGAACGCCCAGGAATGTTGTTCTATATCAGAAGAGCTACTAAAGGAAAGCAAAGTATCCTTTTTGTCCCTAGAAAAAACAATTTCTGAAAAGTTGGAAAAATTTGGAAAAGAATCTTTTCCTGAAGAGAAGTCAAATATTGACAGTGAATCTTTATTGCTTAAAGATGAATGTACCATTCTTAGAAAAAGAATTGAAAAAATGAAAGATCCATATCTAGAGATGGACGATAATTCCCTGTTTGAAATGACGCCAGAAGGACAGAATGACAGAGGTAATACAAATGATACCATATTAAAAATGGACTTCAGCAAGATTCAAATAAGAACAGATTTAGATATCAAAGCACACAAGCACGTGGTTTGGTTTATTCAATTTATTCATATTAAATCAATCTACATTTAATGTGTTATTTTTTACGAAAATATGTAAAATGTCTATATTCTGCATCTTCTTTTTATTAATATAAATTTATATGAATAGAATGTTGTCTTTTAATTGTTTTATTTATCAGTTAATTTGTTCTCCCAACTATGGTTGCATATTTCTGACCCCTGCATGCAAATTATTTTTAGATTTAGTTAACATTATACATAGCACGGTTATCATTCTCTGTCTTTTCCTTTGCCTAAGTTTTAAGCATATGTTATAAATATTCTTCTTTTCTTCATTTTTAAAAAATAAATGACATCAAATATTTCAGGAGTTCCCGTAGTAAGATTGAAAAAGATACCAAGAAAACATGAAAGTAGGTTATCATTTTCATCAAAAAAGTGTAAATAAATCATTTAATTTTTAGTAAAAAATTAATAAATTTGCTAGCTATGCATTTGCTTCTTTTATATATTTTGTTGTAGGAGTTAAATCTTTCCTCACAAAATCAACCTGGTTTATGATTAAAATACTGACAGGTTTGGCTGCAATATTGTTCATTATCAGAGAGTTCGATATATGGTGGGACCTACCATATTGTGAAGTGAAAAATTGTGATGGTAAGGAAATCATTTTAGTAAATATTAACGAAGAAGATATTATCTTTAGAATGCTTTAAGCTTATGAAGAGTAATTATTTCTATTCGGTCTTTAGTTAAAAATAGTTATTAAAACCATCGTTAGTATATTATCGGTCGTAGAATATTTAATACTAATTAATCCCTTAAATCAATAAACACTTCTACTAGTAAATGATTAAAAAATGGTTGCCAAAATTGTTGAGGACTTGTTTTGATATAATATTAAACATACAACATTTTTTAACAGATGTCAATATTCTCTGTGTATAATACACTGCAAAATCATAAAGCATCAATAGATATTGTATGAAAACAATTCGACTGAATGATAGATTGTTATTAAACAAAGTCACACGTCGACAATAGGGTTTGCAAAATGATCACTTAAAATTAGACTGCTGATATCCTCGTTTTATAACTTATTTGGTCAGTAGCTTGCCTCTTTTAAGAAATAAATTGACCGAGGGGCAAGGATTTAAAGAGGATATAGAACACAGGCCCCAGGAAATTCTAGATAGGAGTAAGCATTCCCTATTTACTGGATATACACGCTTTTAGCTCCATGAATTGCTCAAATGCACGTAATTTACCGTAAACAAATATTTAAAAAGTTCTGACGACTGGAAGGAAACAACTCACTTATTCTTTTTTTTCCTCACATAGTCGTTATAACGACCGTAGAAGTTACAAAATGCCGACTTAAAAAGAAATACATGTAAAATCAAATCATCAGTTAGTAGCATGTCTTGACAACCTGATCGTTCTGAGAGCAGGTTTTTGAGTAACGAACAAGTTGGGCTTCACCCGTTTTGCAAACTACCAGTATACCACGTTTCCAGTTATCATAGATGCCCTTGAACACTCTAAAAACTAGGTCTCTGTTGTCTGATCCAAGACACCTTTACATTTATTGTCTTTAATCCATCATCGTTATTTGTTTTGGTAATCAATTACAGACTTTAAGAAAAAAAATTCTGTGATGAGAGTGGTTCCACAAGAAGGATAATGACACTTTATCAAACTCTTTATAAACTTGTCATGAAACTCGTAAATTTACGAACCTTGTCATTGGTCATCTGCAAAATTATTCATTCTGATTGTACACAACAGTACTCTGAAGTTGACATCAAAAAGGTGCTTGAGTTTCTGATTGACAATATGTATGTGGGTTTAGGATACAATGTCTTCCAACACTTTATTGGAATTCCCATGGTTACCAATTGCACCCTGTTATTAGCAAACCTATTTTTGTATTCATATGAGGCAGAATTTATGCATGTCTTAAGCTTTAAAGGAGGCTAGGGGGTCAACAAATTAACCATTAGATACAACTTAATAGCTGTCAGCTATTATTTAGCAAAATAAGGAGGTAGAGTTTCAATACAAATCTAATTAATTGCCCTGTGATTTTCTAAAAAATAAAATCGGGGTAAAAAAATGAAAACTTATAAATTATTGAAATTCCATGCATAAAAATTATATAAAAAATTTTTCTCACATGCATTTCTAAATGCTAATCCTGACGTCATAAACATCTGCATTTTCCCGTATTTTCTTAAAATGTTGCAAAGGACACCAATTTTCAATGGAATTTTCTTTCAGAAAATATTGTCCATGGGCATCGCCCACAAAGATTTTGAGATATGTGATTTTCCAATGTATTTTTCACAACATATTCAAATATTAAAGTGAGCGACGGCTGTGGACACTATTTTCTTAAGGGAAAATTCCCCTTGAAATGGGTCATTTTAAGGCTTTTTCTGTTTGAAATAGAGAAATACATGAAATGAATGACGTCATATTTCCAGAATTGTACTCCTTCATGTCATATTCTTTCCTGATCATTCTCAGTCATAAACTCAACTTGTATTTAAGCCAGTCTCAGAACTTTTTTAAAACACTGAATTTTTTTAGGGCACAATAAAGCTAAAACCATACCTTTTTCTTTCGTACATTTGTTTTAAAATTTGATCATTTTTGTATATCCTTATATGGGGCTCTTCTTCTAAAGGAGATCAAAATAGTCTAAAAATGGCCACAATCGCGAAATCGTGAAATATGACAGGTTTAAAAAAAAAAACAAGAGGCCCAGGGGCCACAGCGCTCAACTGAGCACATCCGCTAGGAAAAAGCACATATCAGATCAGTACTAAATGTTTACTGAGGTTGGGGGGGGGGGGGGGGGGGGGGGGGGGGGGGGGAGGGGTCATGATTTGAACAAACTAGAATCTACACTACCTGAGAATGATTCCATATAAATATCACTAATCATGGCTTTGAAGTACTTGGAAAGAAGATTTCAAAAGGTTTCCCTATATATTCCTATGTAAAACTTTGGTCGACCATTTTGGCCCCACCCTAGCCCCGGGTGTCATGTTTTGAACAAATTTGAATCTACCCTACCTGAGGATAATTTCACGATATCATCTTTCCTGTCTCAATTGTTCTTAAGAAGATTTTTAAAGATTTTTCCTATATATTCCTATGTAAAACTTTATTCGTCCATTTTGGCCCAGCCTACCCCCGGGGGTCATGTTTTGAACAAACTTGAATCTACACTACCTGAGGATGATTCCACATAAGTTTCATTTTTCCTGGCCCAGTGATTCTTGAGAAGATTTGAAAGGATTTTTCATATATACTCCTATGTAAAACTTTGATCGGCCATTTTGGCCCCGCCCTACCCCTGGGGGTCATGTTTTGAACAAACTTGAATCTACATTACCTGAGGATGATTCCACATGAGTTCCATCTTTCCTGGCCCAGTGGTACTTGAGAAGAAGATTTTTAAAGATTTTTTTCTTATATATTCCTATGTTAAACTTTGATCGGCCATTTTGGCACTGGACCACCCTACTCCCGGGGGTTATGATTTGACAAACTTGAATCTACGCTACCTGAAGATGATCAATTCCACATGATTTTCATCTTTCCTGGTTCAGTGGTTCTTGAGAAGAAGATTTCTTAAAGATTTGTTCTATATATCTCCTATGTAAAACTTTGATCGGTCATTTTGGCCCCACCCTACCCCCAGGGGTCATACTCTGAACAAACTTGAATCTACACTACCTGAGGATGATTCCACATGAGTTCCATTTTTCCTGGCCCAGTGGTTCTTGAGAAGAAGATTTTTAAAGATTTTTCCTATATATTCCTATGTAAAACTTTGATCGGCCTTTTTGGCCCCACCCTACCCCCGGGGGTCATGATTTGAGCAAACTTGAATCTACACTACCTGAGAATGATTCCACATGAGTTTTATCTTTCCTGGTTCAGTCGTTCTTGAGAAGAAGATTTTTAAAGATTTTTCCTATATACTCCTATGTAAAACTTTGATCGGCCATTTTGGCCCCACCCTACCCCCGGGGGTCATGATTTGAACAAACTTGAATCTACACTACCTGAGGATTATTCCACATTAGTTTCATCTTTCTTGGCCCAGTGGTTCTTGAGAACAAGATTTTTTAAAAATGCCATTAATTTTTCTCTAATTCATAATTATCTCCCGTTGGAAAAGGGCGTGGCCCTTCATTTGAACAAACTTGAATCCCCCTTACACAAGAATACTTTGTAGCAAGTTTGGTTGAAATTGGCCCAGTGGTTCTTGAGAAGATGATGAAAATGTTAAAAGTTAACAACAAAAACGACGACAACAACGACGACGACGACAGACGAATTTTGATCAGAAAAGCTCACTTGAGCCTTCGGCTCAGGTGAGTTAAAAACGCCATACGCATGTGCCTTGGAAAAATGCAACACTAGTATAGTATACAGATTCTAAGCATATAAATACATTATACATTAATATTCTCATTTGATTCAATTTTGTTTTTGTATGTTGCAGAAGCTGTTCTATCATTCTCCGATAACTCAAATCATTCTTCATTTTGTCGGGCCAAAGATGGAAAAGTTGCATCCAGTCTTTCGATAAAGACTTTAGAACAGTCTTGTGGAAATCCGAATAAGCACTTTGTAGAAAATGGCGTTTTACTAAACAAATCTTTGAATTTTTCCGATGGTTACGATACTATGGATTTTAAAATTCGCTTAACAGATTTCTCTGAAGAAAGTAGAGGGGGGTCTCTTCTGTGGATTGGATTTTTACAAGCATCAACTTATAACAACGAAACTACAGAGATATTTGGATGGAAATTAATTCGATCAAAATATGAAGAAAGACTAGAAATGTTTAATGTCTTAAACACTAAAATTGCTAGCATAAGTGCTACATCACAGACAAAAATTATTTTGAAATATAGAATTCAAAAAGATAATTTAAGCAGAAGCATAAAAATTGCTAATTTGGAGACTAAGAAAATTCTTGATACATTTCACATACCGGAAAAACATCACCCTATTCTATTCGTATACTTCCAGTTTTCTGAAAAGTATCTTGTTAGGATATCAATTAAGTCCCTATCTAATAGAGTAGCATTCAATGCAGATTCAATATTTCCCAATGTGTATTTATCTAACAACAATAAAACTGCGCAAAATTACCTCAGTCCAAACCAAGCTGACATTGTGAGATCAAACTTAACACAAGATATAAAAATTCTCAACTGCGAAAAGCTTTGTGTTTTTCCATTTACTATTTCAATTCCACCTTTTTCTCTAAATGCAGATCATTGGTTTGATATATATTTCGGAAGTATAACTAGCACAGAAGAAATGCTTTTTCTGTCTGACGAAACGTGTACCTTGAGTTACATTCTCTACTATGTATTTGGTTACATCACAAAGTGTTTATCAGTAAACAAGAATTTAGTCGACTCTGAAATACCCAATTTAAATATTAATGGAACTTTTGATTGCGTTCTTATTATAGATAAAGAACATAATACGACAAATATTGATATAAACTCCTATAAATATAACTTACCTTTTCCAGGCCCTCTACGTCACCCGCAACCTGTCTTACGAATAAAAGTTCATACGGCAAACAGTATAACTATTTCGCTTTCGGATAAAAGAAAGTACCTCTATAAATTTTCAATTCTTAATGGATGCATTATATCAAAAATAGTGACATACCTATCAAATTTTGTAGAACTAAAGTTCCTTCTAGTAATATTATTATTTTTTATGACGTATAAATGTTTTTCTAAATGAATACATGCTAATTATCTATTGCGTAGTATTTTTATCGTTTTAAGATTGCATTGATATAAGAATTTTCTGTGTAAAACGTCAGTCAACATTCATCTTACATATTAATTGTATTTGTTGACTGGATTATTGTTTTGATCTACCATTGAATGTTTGTCAATCAAAGACTTGCTTAGTTTAAATTCCTTCATTTAAAGTTCAGTGTTGTTTAGAGAGCACAGGATGGTAATCGGAAGTAACATTAAAGGATGTGTAAATTATGCGATGCTCAGTTTGTTATATATTCGTCAGTGTTATATGTATTATTCTTCCAGCTTACCTTTTTCTTCGCTGTTTATAGTAAACTCTTTGTAACCAAAGTGATTTGTTAAAAATGTTTGTCTTTGTAATCTAGACTAATCAGTATAATTTCTTTTTCTTTACTGATACTATTACCGACAATAGAATTTAGTTAGTTTTGATATATACATGTATATATACAATATCTAAAATTGAGAAACAATCTTAGTTAAGTTTTTTCTTCTTAATATGAAATTTTAGACAGACAGTAAATTTAGTCTTGTAAGTCTTGCCAAGGATCAGAAAATAATCTTTGACGGAAATCTTCTTTGAAAAAAGATTTTGTTTAAAGTTCTTGACATTGTTGATAAGATGATGAGAAAACATGTATTCCAATCAAACTCTAAAAGTTTTTATATGTTTTTGAATTTAAGAATCCTTACAAGCAAAGATACATTGCGGGTTCCAGTAAATGTTTAACAAAGCCTCTTTCGTTACTCCTCACTAAGATATAAACAGTAGTAAAGGGGAAACTTCAAGAGTACTGTGAAACATTATATATTATATATAAGTGGTGCAAATCATATGCGAATACTAAATGAAATGCAAAGGAACTTTTGGACAATTTGAAATCACAAGATTTCATCAAAATCAATAGCTTAAAAACTTACGAATTTTCAACTATATACACAACCATTCCCCACGATAAATTAGAGTCCAGGCTTTTGAATATCATCGACAGCTGCTTTTTCAATAAAAACGTAACTCAACGATTTATTTACCTTGTCATTGATCATTTGCAAAATTATTTTGTTAAAACATTCTGATTGTACACACACAGGTACTCTGAAGTTGACATAAAAAAGGTGCTAGAATTTCTGATTGACAATATCTATGTATCTATGTGGTATTTGGAGATCAGGTCTTCCAACAATCTATTGGAATCCCCATGGGTACCAATTGCGAATTGTTATTAGCAGACATATTTTTGTATTCATATGAAGCAGAATTTTTTCAAAATCTTATGCATGAAAAGAAGAAAACACTTACAGTGGCTTTCAACTCAACATTTAGATATACCAACGGCCTACTGTCAATTAGCAATGAAAATTTCCATTCCAATGTCGATACAATACATGTATATCCTGGGGAGCTTGAGATAAAAGATACCACAGAGTCTGACACATCTGTTTCATACTTAGATATATTACTCGAAATAGACATTTATGGTAATCTGACAACCAACCTCCATAATAAACGTGATGACTTTTACTTTTCTGTCGTCAACTTCCCTTACTTATACAACAATATACCTTCCTCACCTTAATACGGAGTTTATGTATCTCAGTTGATTCGATAAGGAAAAACATGCTCTACGTATGAACAATTTCATAAGTTGATGAAACAAGTATTTCAGCAATCTCGTTAAAAGTCATCAAGTTCTATGGTCGATACAATGACCTTGTCAGCAAATACAATTGGTACTGTGTGCTTGAGCTCACTAAAAATAGCTCTTTTCAACTTTTTGCCATAACGTTTGAACCATAGGAGATAGGGACTTCATATTTGGTATGCATATTGCACTAATAAAGTTTTTTCAAACGACATCAAGGTCAATAACCTGGCGACCTTGACTGTGGCCTATATGCTAAAAATAGCTTTTTCGAATTTTGTTGCTTCCGGGCGCATAGTGTTTCACAAACACACATTGTTTTTCATTGCTTCGATGAAATAATTCTTTATTGATAAACAATAAAAATGATATTGTAATTTATTATACTTTTGTAAAATATTAGAAAATTAAAGTAATGAATAAAAGTTTTTAAAAATTTGCTTTTTACTGTGTCTTTATGGTTGTTTTTAGGTTAAATTAGTTTTTATTTTATTTCTCCTCAAATATTCATTAATTTATGATTTTATATTTCTAAAATAAATTGTTTGCATGAACAATCCCTAAGATGAACGTGCATAAGACATGGAATCAAAACGTATTGAGCTTTTAGATATGAAAAAAATACTAGTGCCTAAAATAGCTAATAACTTTTACAAGTTCTTAAGAAAAACGGTATTAGTAAATATTGTTTTGAAAACATTAATTATCACATTTTCAAATGACAACGATTTTTTAAACTCCTAATTTGATAGAACATCGTCATTATCACAGAACATGACAAAGATCCATGACAAGACCCACGATACATATGTTGCACGTCCTTTTTTGTCTACATTTAGGCATTCTAAATTCGTCATTTTGATACGTGTGGTACTTGCTTAATGAAATAATTTTATGATAATGCTACCCTATTTTCATCCTTGCAATCAAGGGGTCCTGGGGTTCCAGAGTCAACATGTTGCGTTGCACCAACGGCAACGTGATGATTCATGACTCCTGGCTTGCAAGGATGCCCTTTCTTATATACAACGAATTTATTTACTTTGTTTGATCACACTGAAAATTATATAAAGATATGTATCATGCATAGTACATGTATTTTTTTTTATTTGTCCTATGGATTCGTTATGAAAATTCTATAAAATGCTAAAATGAAATATTTTTTTGTGATTTTATGCTTTTTATCAATTTAAACCTTTAAATTTTGGATCACTTTAAAAGGGGTCATTTTTCAACGGCGGCCAATCTTTTATAGGACTCACATATAAAATAATGACACATGGGGCTCTTTTTCTACAAAAAATGATCTTTTTTCTACGGATGGGGGGTCATTTTCTGTAGTTGAAAAATGAACTTCCGGTCATTATTCGATGGTTATCATTATTCGACTTTAAACCGGAAATTAAAACTTAACTTATAAAATAGCCAGACGTTTAAATCGCATGGAAGTGGAATATGAATTATAGCACATGATTTTTTTCTGTAATAAGATTCTGCACTAATGATAAATGAATTTAGTGTTTAGGGATTGGTTGTGTCTTTGAATGTCTGCAGACTTTAATACAGAGGTGACAGGGGCTAATCGTGCACCTGATTTGCACTGAAGATACCAGAATTTCTTCGAAATACCCCTAACGAAAAATCCTATAGTGAAATAGATTTTTAACATTTTCGCAAAAACGTCAATAATTTGATGTTGGAAGTGTTGGAAGTCAGAGGATGATTTTTATCCCTCAACTTTAATATAGGAGTATGAAAATAATATCTAGGCCATTTGAATTAATTAATGCTTTCAAATTATGTACTTAAGTTTGTATAAGCACTTTTAAAAAAGAAACTTAATTGTCATTACAATTATAGATAATCAGATTTTAATCGCCCTAAAACACTTAATTTGCTTCTTGAAACACAGTCTATATATTAAGAAAAGTCAGCCCACTTCAGTAGAAATGTAAATGGATAAATACAGATTTTGCTGTTACCATAATAAGATAAAAATAATTTCAAAAATGAAACATATGGAAATAACGAACAGTATTATAGATCAAAAGTCCAGAAAATAAAACAAACTAGAGGTACAGTGAGCAATGAGCTCACTAAATGATACCACCGCCTCCCATAATGTCCATGTTTTGCTTTATATGTGTAAAGAGGAATAACTCGTCATACCAAATGTTATCCAGAAGCTTCTATATGTGACGTGATAGGTACATGTACGAATATAATGGCAATGTCCATGTTTTGCTATGGAAAATTTAAAATACGTGTCGAATATAAAAGTAAAATAGGAGGTGCACAATGGCAATATGTAATAAAGATTCTGTGGAAGTTTCATTGAATTTCACTCAGTAGTATAAGAGGGGTTGCGGATAAGAGATGGGTACCTCAAAGCGTAACAGACAGACGGACGGACGGAAATACCGATTACTATATACCCTCCCACTTTTCAAGCGGGGGGGGGTTATAAAAAATGCAGAGCAAACACTGACCTCCAAAACAGCAGAGCTGGGATCGGGTGCCATAGAGGAGTGAGCATCCCTTGATGACCGGTCACACCCGCCGTGTGCTCTTTGTTATGATAAGTAAAACTAGAGGTACTGTGAGCGATGAGCTCACTAAATGATACCCCCCGTCTCCCATATGGTTATAACTGGTGAAAAAGTCCATGTTTTCCTGTGGCCGGGAAACCCAAAATATGTGTCGGATCAAAAAGTAAAATAGGAGGTGCACAATGGCAATATGTAATAAAGATTCTGTGAAAGTTTCATCAAATTTCATTCAGTGGTATGAGAGGAGTTGCGGATAAGAGATGGGTACCCCAAAGCGTAACAGACGGACGGACGGACGGACGGACAGACAGACAGACGGACGGACGGACGGACGTACAGACGGACGGACGGAATTAACGATTACTATATACCCTCCCGCTTTTCAAGCGGGGGGTATAATAAAAAGTTAACGTATTCTTCCTTTGTTAAAAAAAGGAAATTAACGAATGCAACTACTAAAGGAAAAATACCTAATTCTGTAGGCATGTTATGTACATTTTCTCTGCAATGGTTGCAACCATTAATCCTGCTTAACAAACAAATGAAGAAACAAAAAAGAAGCAAAAACAAGAGGATCTATGAGCCTTATAGATCACTTGAGTATCATGCAACAACTTTCCAACAATCTAATTTGGTTCGTGATTTAAACCAAAGGCCATGGAATTCACAATTTAGAAAGAAGCACCATTGCTAATCAAAGCTATACACCTAACTTTCTTACTTTGACTACTTAAAACCCAAAGGCAGATTAGAGGAACAAAAAAAAATGCATTTCTACTAAATAATCAGTATACCCCACCCCATAGAAACCACTGACCTTGGGGATACATATTTGAAAGTTTTGTAAAAGGCATCTTTGCTCATCATAAATAGTCGATTAATACCAAAGAGCAGATTTCAAAGCATTAATTCATTTTCAGTATATAATCATTTGAACTCCCCCTCTCCTCCTCCCCCACTAACACCACGGTACCCCTGACCCAGGGGTCATGAAATACATCATATTAGAAGAGACAACCTTCCTTATATAACTATGTACATGATTCAGTGAGTTTAATACCCATGAGCTGGGGAGATTTTCAAAGAAGTAATGCAATTCACCATATAATTATTAGAGCCTCGTCATCACACCAAAATCCTTAAACAAGGGACAAGAAATTCACAAATTTGGAAAAGGCATCCTTCCTCATAATAACTATGTACATGGCTCATTGATTTAATTCCCAGGAGCAGAGGAAAAAGATTTTTTTTAGACATAATATTTTCACTATATATTCACGTACCTAGCACTAGACCCCTGACCCAGGCACTGTGAAATTCACAATATTGGAAGAGGCGCCATTATACATCATAACAATATACATAGTACAATGGCTTAATACCGAGAAGCAGAGGAGATCTTTTAAGAAATAATACATTTCACTATATATTCAACATAGTCCCACCCTAGCACCAGAACCCCTGATCCTCGGGGCATGAATTTCACAATTTTGGAAGAGGCCCTCTTCCTATCATAACTATGTGCATGTAAATGGTTAATTGGCTTAATACCCAGGAGCAGAGGAGAAGATAACCCCTGATCCTGGGGCCATGAATTTCTTCCCTCAAGCCCCAGGGGGAAGGGCAGGGATCATGAAATTCATAATTACAGTGCATTGTTCTCCTTTGCCCATACATGCTATATGCCAAAAATGGTTGAAATAGGTTGGGCAGTTCAGAGGAAAAATGTCCAAATGTTAACACACGACGCATGACGACGGACAAAAGCAGATAGCAATACATCACTTGAGTGACTCAGGTGACCTAAAACAGAAATATAAGTTTTAAAATTTTATTTTATCCATTCATTTGTAGTAATTAACATTAAAATTCTCAAACAATGGAAATGTTTATAAGCGTAAAAGAAATCTTTTAGTTATTTAATACTATGCCTGCAAACAATAACAGTTTTAAAAATTCCCTCCCTCTGCAAACAATTTTCAAATTTCAGACTACTAGTTACAGTAATGATTACCTAGAATGAAAATTCCTATGAAGGCATGTTTTCATATACATAATTTCAGATTTATATATTAGATATCATTTTGTCAAAAATGAAGTAAAATACTTTTTCATGTGCATATACGTATATCACAATATAATTTATTAATTTTAGGAAGAGGGGGCAAAAGTTTATACAAAAAAGTATTTGCCACAATAGATTTGATAATTTTCAGCAGAATAATTGTGATATTTAGAACAATTTTTTTTATCTTCAGGGCTTCAGTGTCACATGAGGTAAATCTACTGCTTCTCTTAACTCAACATGTAGAATCAAACAGGTTCTTGTTTATCACTTCCAAAAACAACTTAGATTAAGTTTTGTTAATCTCTGGTGACTTGATCCAGGGCTTCACATTTGGCCTATGCTGGCCACAAGCTCTTTGCAGTTGGGACATTTTTTCAGTTGCTTTGGGATGCATTCTTTAGACAACAGACACCCGCAGGGTTTTATCTTAAGCTTGGCAGCATCTTCTTTATACATTTGACATTTCGGTGGTGTAATGGGAGGTACTATTGGATTCCTGTTTAAATCAAATAAGTAATACTTTGATTATGTAGTTCAGTAGTTTGCCTTACTTATTGATTCGATTTTCAATCAAACATTCTGATATCCTGAATTTGCCATGCTCAACAACAATTTTTTTGACACTAAGTTTAAGATCTTAAGACGGTTCCCCTAAAACCATGAGATTTCTGCATGGTTATATTTTTAGTGTCTGTATAGAAGGGGGTTGTTTTTGACTCACAGATTTTCCTGTATGAGGTTCTGCACTCTCCCACTCCTTGACTGTGACATGGCGCCCTTTAGGGGCGTCTTCCCCTCATTGTTCCTTAGCCCCTTCTGTACGTTATGTTGGTTCAGCAGAGCCGCGATCTCCAGTTTCTCTCCCAGGGAGCTGTCTGTCTGTCCAGAGTCTGCCTTCTGCATCTATAAATATTTCATAATGTCACATATCATAGCCCGGTGTCTGATACCACCGTTATTGGAGATCTTGGAATTATATATTTGTTAAATGAATTCACTCACCGCGAGTGCTGGGGTTCTCTTTAGCACTTTTAAGATTTCTTTGGTTTTTCTTTTCTTTATAGCCTCCTTATACTGATCTCTCAGACCTGCATCTGCAGTTTTGATTCAATGTTGAATAATTCACCAATAAAATTTTAATTTCATTTTATAGTGCTTGATATATTTGTAACCAAATATTTATAATTCGGCCATGTCATTGGAGGAGGAAATATATTGTAAAAGCAAATGAAGCTTAACATTTAGAAGAATTAAGGTGGTATACCTGGTTCTTCACATGACCGTTCATCTGAAGAGCTTTGTGATCTCTGTTCATCAGGAGAGGGAGAGCAAGACCTAGGAGGGGTGCTCTGGGGTGTATGATCTGGGGTGCGCTGTGGTGTACGCTCTGGAGTGCATTGTTGGGTGGTGGTAGAACTTTCTACTAGATACTGTCTTCCTGTCACAGAACTCAAGAGGTCGTGGATTTCACGTTCCTCCTGAGGTGGTGGAACATCTTCATCTTTCTCTTCAGTGTCCTCTGACCGCTGTGGGGCTTCCTCCTCTTTAAATTCATCAGGACTACCACCAGATGGCGTCAGACACTCCGGGTTGAACTTAATCTGCTGGATCCCAAAGCTGACAATCACGTCCTCGTCTGAATCCACGCTCACAACTCGACCCTTCTTCCCCAGGAACTAAAATAAGATATAATATTAATTTGCATAATTTTTGGCAATGACCTGTTTTAAGCTTAAATCGAATGAAACACTTTATTGAAAAGAAAATTTTTAATAAACACAGTAAACTGATACCTATGTGTACCTTTTTCATGCTTTCCTGCCAAGGCCCATGTCCACTCTGAAGATGCTGTACACTTGTTGCATCATTTTCTACCTTCACGACTTGGTCCTTCACATACAGCTCTATCTGAAAATTACACTAAAGTGATTGATTTCACTGATCACTGATGTATTACCGTCTCATGCATCACAAGTTTGTTTTTACCTTGGCTAAAGCCATTTCAGGAAGAGTCCACTCTTTGCCGCTAAAATCCAAAGTGATTTGGTGTCCATCGACAAACAGCACTGATCCATTCTCTCCAATACACTGAAGAAAAAATGTGATAAAAGAAATGATTACAATAGGATTTATTCGTAAATCAGATATTTCATGAACTTAAATCTGATATTTTTTTTAATTCCAAGAAAGAAGCACGTGTTCACTGTACCTCTATGATTTTGTAATTCTCTATAATTCTCTCGTCCCAGTTTTTGGACTCTTTTAGAATCGCCTGGAGAGTATCTAGATCCACCCCTATCTTGACCTTGTCCCCTTTTTTCAGCCTCCCCTCCTCCTCATAAAGGGCCTTTGAAGCTCCCTCCTCTCTAACAGCTTGGTTTGGTTCAGGTCGGGACTGATCTGGCAATTCTGTTCCCAGATAATCAGATACATGTATCATTCAAAGAAAAAAATAATCAAAGAACTGTGCCATGTACTGTTGTGTAATACATGCCCAAATAAAGGGTTCGCCATCGTTTGAAATTTTACTGTGTTGCAGAGTTTACGCAAAGCACTAAAATTTCGCTGTTCTTTCGCGATCAAATTGAATCACTATTCATTATAATTACAAAAAAATACGTGCATACACTTTTTTTAACAATCACTATTCTCGTTATACAAATTGAAATTGTATGGTCGTACAGTGTACATATTGTTAAAAACAAAAACACATGTTCTGAAAAGCAGAGGAAAATCTGGTTGTTTCAGTCGAACTACTTGTTATTTTTGAAACTGAATTTGCCGAGATTTTTTGTCTGTTTTCTTGATCAAATTACCGAATTACAAAAAAAAAAAAAAAAGGAAGAAAGACAGAAATTTCAGAATAGTTAAATACTTTAAAGAGTTCCTGGAAAATTTGAAATAGTTAATTGACATCAATTGAATGACATCGGTACTATGTTACATGTATGTTTGATTTACAGTACCAAAACAATTCTAGAGCCGTTGCTCTATAGAAAAGACTTATTTAAATGCCTTTTTTAAAAAAATACAATTTACTTTTTAATGCAACTACCAATTAACCGTTACATGGAAATGTGAAAACAAGTTATTTTTCTTTGTTCCTTCGTGTAAAATTGTTTGTTCAAACTTTCAGTTACAGATAATTTATAAGTTTGAATTTTCTAATTATTACAGATCTTATTGTGTCGGCAAACCTTTTACTACGTTGCACGCATATTTGAATCGTTACTATGTCGGAGTAAAATTTATTGTGTCGAGAGCAACACAGTAAAAACAGCTCATGATGAGTCCTGCACATACTTAAACCAACTTTCTGTTGTGTGCTCTTAAATTTTTGTTGACATTATCTTTGTATCACGTATAAAGGCTTACTTTAACGAGGCCCGATCTAGTTGAAAATTACGAAAACGGAATGATAAAAATTTTTAATTCTTGGAAATATATTTGTATGTTTTATGCTTAGAAAAATTAGAATGAAATTTTGTTGCCTTGCCTTTATTGTAGTCAAATGGGGACACTTTCAAGATATGGACCATTTGTCGTGTTTTTATACACAATTACATACTAAAACTCTCCAATAAACAAAGAAATTTATAAATTAAAAAAAAATACATAATGGAATTATTTGTTTTTCACATATATCATGCAATTTTCATTCTTCTTATAAAACATGAAAAGAAAATTGGAGGTAGCCTTTATTGCAGTGAAAAGGGGGCATGTCAAAACACAAAATTTGGAATTATTCTATCCGACTACGTATTTTATAAGTTGCAATGGGTTTACATAACACCAACAAACAATTGCAATACTGTATTAGTTTCTAAAAAATAAATAATTCTTACATTATGAAATAATTTTCTCGCCATGCTTTATTTTTTCTTAACACGCGACGTTGTTTTACGTGGAAAAAAGGGGAAGAGGGAAGGGGGGGGGGGTAAAGGCGACAAAATTACGATTTTTACTAATATCATAAAATATTTAGAAAAATAAAATATTTCGGGAGTTGCATTTAAATGATTTATAGACTTCTTTTATTCTTTAAAACTGAAGATAATCCATGCATATTTAAGTCCCCAATAAAAAGAGTGTGTATAAGCACTTCAACATGTTCAAGGAGAAAGACTAAAATAGTTTTACTTTTGGTTGCAGTTTTTTTTTTTCAAACTCACAAATTGAAATAAAATAAGATAGAATTAATGAATCTATACCAAATAATTGATCCCTCAAAATTAATTATGTTCCAAAGTTGTTTATTAATTTAAAAATTTTTTTTTTAAAAATGTAAATAATATTAATGCCATCAGTCTATAGAGCTAACAGGTAAGCAACATCAGCGAAACATTTTAGCGCCATTTGACGTCATTTTAATTGTGACGTTATTGTGTTCAATTGTGACGGCAGTCAAGGGTATTGTGACGTGCCTGAGTCGACGCTGCGCAAAAACTACGCGCAGATCAAGTAGATCGGGCCTGGTTAAACCGTTTTTTTTTTTTTTTGTTTTTTGTTTTGTTTTATTTTTAAACAAAATTCAAGGAAGAATACATGACTGAAAGAATATACATGTAGTTGGCCACTTCACACATAATTATAAATTGATAAAATCTATTTATTTTCAATAAATCAATAAATGATTGAAGACATCAAACACTCACTGAAGATAGGAAGATGATCCTTGTAATAAAACCTTTCATTTGAAGCTTCCACATCCTTGATATCGACACAGCCTTTACCAAGGCGATAGGCATTAGCACTTACCATATCTTTATTTTCATCTCCACCTTTAGAAATTAATGCAAGTAACTCGGTATAATACATTGAACAGTTACTTAAAAAATGTGATCAATGTGATCATCTTGATCAAATATAAACTTAGCTTTACATACCATAATGTTTGGCTTATCTTTGTTAGAGGATACACAGGTAAAAGAGGATCTAACTCTCTTCTTCCAACATAAGTTTAAAATAGTTACACATGACCCACCATCTTGATTTTCCCATCTCCGGTCAATTCCTCGAGTCACCTTAGCATCCTCGAAAATCCCGAAGAGTTTCTGCCTACTGCTCAACTGCCTCCCAGGAACAGAACATCTAACAAAAAATATGAGTAGTCGAACTAAAGAAATCGTCCTCTATCAAAGAGAAGATTTCCCTTTAGAAAATTAACTTTTCTTTATCATTTACCAAAATTTTCCATTTTATTATCAGGACTATTTAGTTTCTGTGAATAATGAAAGATACTGTACATTTTAAAGGAAAGATAGCTGCAAAGAAGATGGCTTGGTTTGCTACATTATAATCTTTCTTTTATAGTTCTTGTGTCCATGCGCATGAAGAAATATGACTACTGATAGAAATAGTCTTACCCTCCGTGACTGGGGTAGTCAAACCGCGTGAATTTGTGTATGATGTCATGTTTGTCACTATGGTAACAGTTACTACATAGCGCAACATCTGAGCACTGGTCACATTGCCACAAAATCCCGAATATTTCCGGTTCTTCACAGCCTGGGTTCGTACACTGTCTGTCATGTTTGATTCCTGAATCAGAATTTTCATATATTCATATTCTGGTACATAGGAGCTAGTGCCTTTGCAAAACACTGATTCATGCGCTGGAGTGTAGTGTTATACAAACCGAGGGCTGATGTATCATATATCCTGAGGTCGTACTGCCCCTCGTACCCCACTCTGTACATGTTCATGTATCCCTTGTCCCACTGGACCTGAGCAAACATTGGGGGCACCTTCCCAGAACTCCCCTCGTGTCCGATTTCTACCACGGTCCCTAAGTGTCCCTCCCCTCCATCCTGGTCCCCCCAGCACCAGTTCTGTCCTCTCACCACACGGATTCCAATGTCAAACACCATACCTACAGAAAAAAGTAATATACATAAGTTTAACCGTAATTATTATCTACTGATATTTAACAAAATGGTTCAATTAAAAGGCTACAATTAAAATACATGCAATGTTGGTTTGCTTTCTCCCGACCCAGGATGAAATGATTTGGTCAGTAGGTAGGTGGGAAAATTATTTTTCTCAGAAATTTCAACATTGAAGCTTTATTTTCAATTTTTTCCAAGAATATATAAAAAATATTAATTGTTTTCTGGAGTTTCTTAAAAGTTTTGAGTCAGCCCATGTTTAGCCAGTCGGTAGGGAGATGGCAACCAAACAAATTTTTAAAGGTGGTTTAATGATGTATTATATTTGTTTTAGTTGTAAAAGTGTAATAAAGTTGATTCAATTATTGTTTAGTTTTGTGTGAATGCATGGGTGTTTAGTTTTGGTTTATCATTTTTGTTGACTATGTTTTGACAATAGTGGGTTACCATAGACGGGTTTAGTGTGTAAGTTATTTTTAGCGTGAGGCGTGAGTATAAAAGTGACCGGTTAGGCCAGAGTGGTAAGATAAGGGAGCGGTAGCAACATCATCACCCGGATGCCACGTTTGTACTTGTCCTATACGTTCTCAGGGTGTGGCAAATTCTGCAGTTTATAGGGACTGTTCAACTGGTAGCCATTAGAATAAGGAAGGCTTGTTGGACTGGCATATTTTCCTGTTTTCCCTATCTCACTTGCCGGTAAGCGTATTTGTTTTGTTTGTCAGTTTTCACTGTTGTAAGTATGTTCTTTTGTTTGGGTTTTTCTCTGTGTAAAGTTATTTTAGGGTTAGTTAAACGTATGATATTTTCAGTGCGAACAGTGTAGTAAGGCGTGAGGAGTGTTTGGTAAATTTACTCGACGAAGACCTATAAGAGACCTATATGTGGTGTGAAGTTACAGTATGGACAGATGGAGGGTCATGCGGATGCTGAGGGTGTATGGTTTTAAGGACCTAAGACGTTCTTCCCAAGCCGGAGGGTGAGACCAGCGAGTCCGGGCCTCCAACTACCGTGGTGAATCTTCTATTGTCGATTGTCCGCATGTAAGTTTATCGGGGCGGATCAGCACGTGGTGGCGTGAGTCCTTCAGCGTGACTAGTGCGTGAATAATGAATTTCAGCAATTTGTGTTTCTAAATAAAATTTGAGAAAGGAAATTCCAAAAACTATTACACAGTTTATTCATTAAAGTGAACTTTTCCTAATTCTAAATAAGAACAGCTGATTGTTAATCTCTATATCTGATACATGAATTGAACAAAAAAGACTGTTGATTTAAAGTTTATTATATTGTATCAGATATTTGTTAAACTTATTTCTGTTTCATTTTATTTCTAGTTTGAGTGTGGTATGAAAGGAGGGAGAAAGAATATTATCATCATTTTTTTTTGTTATTTTCTTAAATATTTTTTTTGTTAAGTTTACAATTTGTTCTTTTATCTCAGCCATACAAAATTCCAAAGAACTCATTACAAAAAGCCTTTAGTATTTATTCATTTAGATTTCTAATTTGAAACATCACACACATTTAACTTAGAAATTATATGAACAAAATTTAATTTTAGATTGAAATTAATGATTTAAAAAAAAAATAAATTAATAATACTTTACATGGATGCATTTAAGAAAAAACTGGATTTTTCTCGGGGGGGGGGAAGCATAGGGCTGCATTTCAAAATATAAACTGCATTTCCAGGGAGTAGTAATTATTTACAAAATAGCTTGAAAAGCAGATGGTGTTTTTAAAATAATCTAGAATGTAAGGACTAAAGCTTGAATTAATTAAAACTATTTTTTTCTTTGGTCTTAAGGGGGGACCTATGTCCGACAAGTCTTTGTGTGAAATTTTCAAAACTTTGACATTTCTTTCATGACCACTTGCTCTTAATTTTTAGGTATTAAAAACAATACCTTTATATGTTTATTTTTACACAGGAGCACGTGCAAAAACAGTGTGAAATGCTAAAAATAGATTATTTTCAGACATCATTGTTCTACCACAAATATGCGCTAAAAAGAATCAAAAATGTCAAATCACATTCAAAATCAACATGTATTTAAATTATTTGACTTGTATCTTTGAAATGAAGGCAAAATCATTATAATTCATCTCGCATAAAAAATTAGAATGGAGCACAATGTAAGTATTACCCCATTTTTCTTGTCGTATTTTTTGCAATTCCGACATGCATAAAAGGTAATATCTTCAAAAGTCTTTGTGTGAAAATGTTGTAATTCATATTTTTTGAAAGAAATGAATTATTTCTTTATTTTAATAAAGAAAAAAGTATACCTTTATGATAAAATAAACGAGAAATGCGAAGTTTTCCTTTATTTTCGTACTCTTGTGTCATAAATATTGACCTTTCTGCACCAAGACAAGGGTAAGTAAGCACTGACAAACATCTGAATATAACACTAATTTGCGGAAAACAAGTAATTCGTTTTGATTAGTAACAATTTACACTGATTTAATCTTTTCTTTTTGATTCCAATCATTCTGCCCCCCCCTCCCCCACTTCTTCCTTGTCAACAACCAACTCCTTTAAGAATTATCCTAGGAATGACTTTATACAATTAAATCTAAATGTGCTAATCAATAAGCGCATATAAGTACAAGTACATTAAAAAAAAAATTTCTTAGTTTTATCGAGAAAATACAATTAATTGTAAATATAAAATTAAACATATTTCCCTGATTTAAGCCGCTTTCTTTGCTGAATTCTATCTTATCTTTTTGCACTTATATCAGGATATTATCGAGGTATTTTTTCACAACTGCAATTGCTATGAATTATCAACCCAAGGACGAGATTTCTAATACTAAGAAACTCCATTAATCCAATAAAACTGCTATTAAAAATGTATAAATTTTCTTTTTGTAAATTGTGTACGTGATTGATTTTAAACAATGGTAAGCCTATACCACAGTTGTAAAAGTCAACAGGTAAAAAGCAAACGTCGCTATTGTGACGTCACATAACGCTGCTTTGACGTAGAACGACATAGGTCCCCCTTAAAACACTATAAGAAATGTAAGGCTTATTTCAGGCCCGAGTCTGTAGTTTTGATTCAATGTTGAACAATTCACCAATAAATTTTTAATTTCATTTTATACTGCTTGATATATATGTCACAAAATATTTATAATTCAGCCATGTCATTAGAAAGAGGACAAAATATACTGTGACAGCAAATGAAACTTAACATTTAAGGGGCCCTACTGGGGTTTTCTTTGCAAAATATTTCGCGCATCATAGTAAAATGAAGCGTATTTACTGTTTTAAAACAGCATTTTCCACTTAATCAATAAGATTAAACAAAATTAAGAATTTGCATGTTTAAAAATGTAATTGTAATTTTATATTACGGATTTTTAAACCGATTTTGCACCTGAAAGGTAGGTTGATGTCGATGTAGTGTGTTTTTGATTATTAAGATCAACTGAACTCTTAAGTAAAGGGGTAAAGGGGTAATAAAATGTGTTTAGAAAAGGTAATAAACATACACTCTTGAAATTTTAAACCTAGAAATTAGAGAATCTCTCCATTATTTTTATTTATGTTTTCATATAAATCTTTTGTGCCCGTCATATTTTGTAGTACTCTATAAAACCTGGAAAATTCGATAATTTTCTTCATGTACACTAAAGTTTATTAAAGTTATATATTTTATATAAATAAAGAGTTTCGCTATTGTAGTTTTCACACAATAAAACTCCAGTCGCCCCCCCCCCCCTTAAAGGAATTAAGGTGGTTTACCTGGTTCTTCAAATGACCGTTCATCTGAAGAGTTTTGTGATCTCCGTTCATCAGGGGAGGAAGAGCAAGACCTAGGTGAGGTGCGATGAGGGGTGCTCTGGGTTGTATGATCTGGGGTGCGCGGTGGTTTACCATATGGGGTGCATTGTTGGGTGGTGGTAGAACTTTCTCCCAGATACTGTCTTCCTGTCACAGAACTCAGGAGATCACGGGCTTCACGTTCCGCCTGAGCCTGAGGTGGTGAAACATCTTCACCTTTCTCTTCAGTGTCCTCTGATCGTTGTGGTGCCTCCTCCTCTTTAAATTCATCAGGACTACCACCAGATGGCGTCAGACACTCAGGGTTGAACTTAATCTGCTGGATCCCAAAGCTGACAATCACGTCTCCGTTTGAATCCACGCTCACAACTCGACCCTTCTTCTCCAGGAACTAAAATAAGATTTTTCATCATTTTTGGCAATGACATGTCAAGTTTGAATCGAATCAAACACTTTATCTAAGAGAAAAATGTTTGATAAACACATTGAGCTGATACCTATACCTTTTTCATACTTTCCTGCCATGGTCCATGTCCATTCTGAAGATGCTGTACACTTGTTGCATCATTTTCTACCTTCACGACTTGGTCCTTCACATACTGTTCTATCTGAAAATTACACAAAAATAATTGATTTCACTGATCATTAATGTTTTACCGTCTCATGCATTACAAGTTTGTTTTTACCTTGGCTAAAGCCATTTCAGGAAGAGTCCACTCTTTGCCGCTAAAATCCACCGTGATTTGATGTCCATTGACAAACAGTACTGATCCATTCACTCCAATACACTGAAGAAAAAAAAATTGATATAAGAAATGATTACCATAAGATTTATTTGTAATTCGTAATTATTAAATTTCCATGAGAGAAGCACTGTGTTTACTGTATACCTCTATGATTCTCTCGTCCCAGTTCTTGGACTCTTTCAGAATCACCTGGAGGGTATCTAGATCCACCCCTATCGTGACCTTGTCCCCTTTTTTCAGTCTCCCCTTCTCCTCTTTATAAGGGGCTTCTGAAGCTCCCTCCTCTCTAGCCTCCTGGTTTGGTGACGGTCGGGATTGATGTGTCAATTCTGTTCCCAGAATATCATATGCACGTATCAATCAAAGAAAAAAATAATTAAAGAACTGTGTTACGGACTGTAAGTTACACGCCCAAATATTTAACCAACTTTGTTTAGTGTTTCATGTGAATGTTCTTTTGTTGACATTATCTTTGTATTACTTATTAGTGCTTACGATAACTTGGTTTCCACGAAATTCATCGAAGAATACATGATTGAAAGAATATACATGTAGTTGGCCACTTCACACATAATCATAAATGTATTCATCGAAGTTATCACAACACGCTTATCAATTGACCACGTGTTTATGTAGTATCTATGAAGAGTGTTGGTCTGATTGGTTAAAGTATTTATAGAATACCTGTTCTACAGGTATTCTGTTAAAGCACACACACTTTAGCGTTTGTAAAAGTTAAATGCCATTTGAAATATCTTTCTCAGTGCAGTCAGACGTTTTCCCCGCCAACCCACCCTCACAAGTATCATCTTTGTTTTGATTCATTATATGTTTTTGTTTTGTAGATTGTGTGAGTTGGCAAGAAGAAAAGTTGGAAATGTTCATTTTGTGTATAATATTAAACTGCACTTACGAGAGCGCTTCTCTATCTATCACAAATGTGTTGTTATTTATTTTATCGATTTTATATATTTTTTTTGAGTGGAAACGAATTACAACATAAATTGATAAAATTTAATTGTTTTCAGTAAATGATTGGAAGACATCAAACACTCACTGAAGATAGGAAGATGATCCTTGTAATAAAACCTTTCATTTAAAGCTTCCACATCCTTGACATCGACACAGCCTGTGTAACCAAGGCGATGGGCATTAACACGTACCATACCCTTATTTCCATCTTCACCTTTAGAAATCAATGTGCATCACTCAGTGAAATACATTGAACAGATATTTCAAAAATGTGATCAATATGATCATCTTTATCAAAAATAAACTCAGCTTTAGATAACATAATGTTTGGCTTATCTTTTTTAGAGGATACACAGATAAAAGAGGATCTAACTCACTTCTTCCAACAAAAATTTAAAATAGTTACACATAACCTACCATCTTGATTTTCCCATCTCCGGTCAATTCTTCGAGTCACCTTAGCATCCTCGAAAATCCCATACAGTTTCTGTCTACTGCTCAATTTTCTCTTAGGAACAGAACATCTACAACAAATATATGTATTTGAACTTATGAACTTCTCCTCTATAAAGGAGAAGCTTTCCCTTTACAAAATTAACTTTTCTTTATCATTTAGCAAAATTTTCCAATTTATTATCAGGATTATTTAGTTTCTGTGAAAAACTAAAGATACCATACATTTTAAAGGAAATGTATATAGATAGCTGCAAAAGGAGATGGCTTTGTTTGCTACATTGTAATCTTTCTTTTATAGTTCTTGTGTCCACGCGCATGAAGAAATATGACTACTGATAGAAATCGTCTTACCCTTCGTGACTGGGGTAGTCAAACCGCGTGAATTTGTGTATGATGTCATGTTTGTCACTATGGTAACAGTTACTACATAGCACAACATCTGAGCACTGGTCACATTGCCACAACATCCCGAATATTTCTGGTTCTTCACAGTCCGGGTTGGTACACTGTCTGTCATGCTTGATTCCTGAATCAGAATTTTCATATATTCATATTCTGGTACATAGGAGTTAGTGCCTTTGCAAAACACTGATTCATGCGCTGAAGTGTAGTGTTATACAAACCCAGGGCTGATGTATCGAATATCCTGAGGTCGCACTGCCCCTCGTACCCCACTCTGTACATGTTCCTGTATCCCTTGTCCCACTGGACCTCAGCACACATTGGGGGCACCTTCCCAGAACTCCCCTCGAGTCCGATATCTACCACGGTCCCTAAGTGTCCCTCCCCTCCATCCTGGTCCCCCCAGCACCAGTTCTGTCCTCTCACCACACGAATTCCAATGTCAAATACCATACCTACAGGAAAAAGTAATATACATAAGTTTAACCGTAATTATTATCTACTGATATTTAACAAAATGGTTTAAAAAGATACAATTAAATAATGCTGGTTTGCCCTTTCCCGACCTAGGATGGAATAATTTGGTCAGTAGGTAGGTTGGAAAATTATTTTTCTCAGAAATTTCAACATTGAAGCTTTATTTTCAATTCTTTCCCAGAATACATAAAAAAATATTGTTTTCTGGAGTTTCTTAAAAGTTTTGAGTCAGCCCATGTTTAGCCAGTCGGTAGGGAGATGGCGACCAAACACATTTTTAAAGGTGGTTTAATGATGTATTATATTTGTTTTAGTTGTAAAAGCCTTTTATATTTGTTCATTTAGATTTCTAATTTGAAACATCACACACATTTAACTTAGAAATTATATGAACAAAATTTAATTTTAGATTGAAATTAATGATTTAAAAAAAAAATAAATTCAAATACAAAAAATAAAAGCATATATACTTTACATGGATGCTTTTAATAAAAAACTGGATTTTTCTTGGGGGGGGGGGGTTGCATTTCAAAATACAGACTGCATTTCCAGAGAGTAGTAATTATTTACAAAATAGCTTGAGAAGAAGATGGTGTTTTTAAAAAAATCTAGAATGTAAGGACTAAAGCTTGAATTCTTAAAATTATTTTTTTTCTTTGGTCTAACTCTATAAGAAATGTAATGCTTATTTCAGGCCCGAGTCTGTAGTTTTGATTCAATGTTGAACAATTCACCAATAAATTTTAAATTTCATTTTATACTGCTTGATATATTTGTCACCAAATATTTACAATTCAGCCATGTCATTAGAAAGAGGACAAAATAAACTGTGACAGCAAATGAAACTTAACATTTAAAGGGCCCGACTGGGGTTTTCTTTGCGAAATATTTCGCGCATCATAGTAAAATGAAGCGTATTTACTGTTTCAAAACAGCATTTTCCACTTAATCAATAAAATTAAGCAAAATTAAGAATTTACAAGTTTAGAGATGTAATTGCAATTTTATTTTACTGATTTTTAAAACGATTTTGCACCTGAAAGGTAGGTTGATGTCGATGTAGTGTGTTTTTGATTATTAAGATAAACTGAAGCTCGTAAGTAAAGGGGTAATAAAAATGTGTTTCGAAAAGGTAATATACATACGCTCTTGAAATTTAAAACCTAGAAATTAGAGAATCTCTCCATTATTTTTATCTATGTTTTCATATAAATCTTTTGTGCCCGTCATATTTTGTAGTACTCTATAAAACCTGGAAAATTCGTTAATTTTTTGCATGCACCCTGAAGTTTATCAAACTTATATATCTTATATAAATGAAGAGTTTCGATATTGTGGTTTTCACACAATAAAACTCCAGTCGGCCCCTTAAAAGAATTAAGGTGGTTTACCTGGTTCTTCACATGACCGTACATCTGAAGAGCTTCGAGATCTCCGTTCATCAGGGGAGGGAGAGCAAGACCTAGGTGGAGTGCACTGAGGAGTGCTCTGGGGTGTATGATCTGGGGTGCGCGGTGGAGTTCGCTCTGAGGTGCATTGTTGAGTGGTGGTAGAACTTTCTCCCAGATACTGTCTTCCTGTCACAGAACTCAAGACGTCATGGATTTCACGTTCCTTCTGAGCCTGAGGTGGTGGAACATCTTCACCTTTCTCATCAGTGTCCTCTGATGGCTGTGCTGCCTCCTCCTCTTTAAATTCATCAGGACTACCACCAGATGGCGTCAGACACTCAGGGTTGAACTTAATCTGCTGGATCCCAAAGCAGACAATCACGTCTCCGTCTGAATCCACGCTCACAACTCGACCCTTCTTCCCCAGGAACTAAAATAAGATTTTACATCACTTTTGGCAATGACGTGTCAAGTTTGAATCGAATCAAACACTTTATCTAAAAGAAAAATGTTTAATAAACGCATTGGGCTGATACCCATACCTTTTTCATGCTTTCCTGCCAAGGCCCATGTCCACTCTGAAGATGCTGTACACTTGTTGCATCATTTTCTACCTTCACGACTTGGTCCTTCACATACTGCTCTATCTGAAAATCACACAAAAGTAATTGATTTCACTGATCACTAATGTTTTACCGTCTCATGCATCACAAGTTTGTTTTTACCTTGGCTAAAGCCATTTCAGGAAGAGTCCACTCTTTGCCGCTAAAATCCACCGTGATTTGTTGTCCATTGACAAGCAGTACTGATCCATTCACTCCAATACACTGAAGAAAAAAATTTGATATAAGAAATGATTACCATAAGATTTATTCGTAATTCGTAATTATTAAATTTCCATGAGAGAAGCACTGTGTTTACTGTATACCTCTATGATTCTCTCGTCCCAGTTCTTGGACTCTTTCAGAATCACCTGGAGGGTATCTAGATCCACCCCTATCGTGACCTTGTCCCCTTTTTTCAGCCTCCCCTCCTCCTCTTTATAAGGGGCTTCTGAAGCTCCCTCCTCTCTAGCCTCCTGGTTTGGTGACGGTCGGGACTGATGTGTCAATTCTGTTCCCAGATATATGCACGTATCAATCAAAGAAAAAAATAATTGAAGAACTGTGTTACGGACTGTAAGTTACACGCCCAAATATTTAACCAACTTTTTTTAAGTTTCATGTGAATGTTCTTTTGTTGACATTATCTTTGTAGTACTTATTAGTGCTTACGATAACTTGGTTTCCACGAAATTCAACGAAGAATACATGACTGAAAGAATATACATGTAGTTGGCCACTTCACACATAATCATAAATGTATTCATCGAAGTTATCACAACACGCTTATCAATTGACCACGTGTTTATGTAGTATCTATGAAGAGTTGGTCTGATTGGTTAAAGTATTTATAGAATACCTGTTCTACAGGTATTCTGTTAAAGCACGCACGCTTTAGCGTATGTAAAAGTTAAATGCCATTTGAAATATCTTTCTCAGTGCAGTCAGACGTTTTCCCCGCCAACCCACCCTCACAAGTATCATCTTTGTTTTGATTCATTATATGTTTTTGTTTTGTAGATTGTGTGAGTTGGCAAGAAGAAAAGTTGGAAATGTTCATTTTGTGTATAATATTAAACTGCACTTACGAGAGCGCTTCTCTATCTATCACAAATGTGTTGTTATTTATTTTATCGATTTTATATATTTTTTTTGAGTGGAAACGAATAACAACATAAATTGATAAAATTTAATTGTTTTCAGTAAATGATTGTAAGACATCAAACACTCACTGAAGATAGGAAGATGATCCTTGTAATAAAACCTTTCATTTGAAGCTTCCACATCCTTGACATCGACACAGCCTGTGTAACCAAGGCGATGGGCATTAACACGTACCATACCCTTATTTCCATCTTCACCTTTAGAAATCAATGTGCATCACTCAGTGAAATACATTGAACAGATATTTCAAAAATGTGATCAATATGATCATCTTTATCAAAAATAAACTCAGCTTTAGATACCATAATGTTTGGCTTATCTTTTTTAGAGGATACACAGATAAAAGAGGATCTAACTCACTTCTTCCAACAAAAATTTAAAATAGTTACACATAACCCACCATCTTGATTTTCCCATCTCCGGTCAATTCTTCGAGTCACCTTAGCATCCTCAAAAATCCCATACAGTTTCTGTCTGCTGCTCAATTTTCTCTTAGGAACAGAACATCTACAACAAATATATGTATTTGAACTTATGAACTTCTCCTCTATAAAGGAGAAGCTT